TATCGCGAGACGCGCCTCGACCTTTGCTTCGCCGCATGTAGATTGCATTTGCTCTGCTCGGCGAAAAAAAAATTGTTTCACCTCGGCGACTGCGCGGCGATGCCTCGTGTTTGCTGAGTGTTAGCGGGGATTGGCGGATCCATACTGGCGTCCGTCGTTGTGCGTCAGGCATGTGAGGAGGAAAGCAACGTACGGGACTGAGGCAGGGTGAGCCCGCGGGGCAGCAGCACGCTCAACACTCCACACCGAGCCGACGTCGACGACGACAACTCGCTAATTCTTATTGATCCGGACATCCGGTCCACTGAGTAAACATTACATATCAGAGGCAGGCGAAGCCTCGGAGCCGTCCGTGAATCGAGCGACGAAATGCCGCGTAGAAATCAACGCGTGACCTCTTAAGCAATGGTGAAATGGCCGCGATCGACGGTGCTGGGCAGTACGTCGAGATCCCCTTCATACCGGCGCGTGCGCAAGTTATATTACTACCTTATAGTTATAATGACTATAATAACGCTATAACTACCCTCTTGTAATGACTACTAGTACAATGACAACTCATTTATATTTATAACTACTAGTAATGTTATATTTACATTATAGTTACTAGTAACCTATTGCAACTCACTTATATTTACTCAACTACTATTAAATCTATAACTTCCTTTTTGTAATACCTACTAATATAATTTCAACACACTTATAGTAGTTATAACTACTAATAAATATATACTTATACAAAATCTAAAACACCATGAGGTGCGACCAGAGCGATACGATGTGATACAGTATCACTCGATACTAATATTAGATCACTATTATTCCATCACGAATGCAGTGGAAACAATGTGAAACTCTACGCTTATATTTAGATATGTAGCTGTCTTTTAGATTTATCTGATTCTCTGTTTAGCAGACGATCGATGTGTGGATTTATGCCGCGCGCGTGGAGTGCTGTGACATTAAAGGAATACTTTACTCTAGAATTTGAAAGTATATTATGATAGTCGATTTATAAATAATAGCGCATACCTATAAATATATATAATTACGCATTCACGTTTGTCATAAAACAACATTGAATTTCGAAATCTTTATTTTTTGGTGCTGACATGACAACCGCGACCGTGCTGCCACCCTGAAAAAGTTGCGCATTTGCCAAAATATTTTGCACGTTACAGACCGAGGGCTAATCACAAAAGTGCAATTATATTTACACCTAAATGCTAGTTAACCGGACGATTTTCATTTTAGGACAAATTTATCCATATTATAACTGAAACAATATGTCGTTTATAAGATATTGCAATCCTTCTGCTCTTAAATTAATAAATAAGAAACACCCTCGGTCTGTAGCCTGCAGCCGAAACGTTGCTTTGCGCAACTTTTCAGTGGGTGCGCTGTCAGTGGCGCAACCGTCGTTGTAAGCAAAGGTATAGCCGTCAGTTATAAAACATTTTTTTAAATAATTCTAATAAATATTGAACCATAAAACTATTTATGAAGCGTAATTTTAACCTAAATGAAGCATCCCTCAACCCCGCACGCTTGCCTGGTTTCCCGCCTGTGTTGCTGCTGGTGCGTGATCTGCATACCTACACACGCACACTATCACGCATCTCTCATCCGTCATTAGAGAGAGAAGGGAGGAGCGCGTTACTGCTGTCTCACGCACCGGGTCCTACGCGGAGACAGCAGCGAGCTTTTTGCGGCCGCTAGTTACTCGCGTGTTCGCCTCGTGGTTTTTCGCGTTTTCGTTCGCTCCGGCTCAGCCGAGACACGTAGAACGCTGAACTCGCTCCGTGTTGCTAATGGCAACCGCCTCCCGTCTGTAATGACGCTGGGCGACGTCGGAGCAGTAAGTCGCCGCAATTCTGTTCTGTTCTGTTGATTATGCGAATATTCGCGTTGGCTTCTCTGCTGGTGATCGCTTGAGGGCATCTTCTTAGAGATCCAGCGAGATCAAGTCGATTTCTAATTAATTGCGGTTAGTCATTACAGTCGGGGGGAGGGTGAGTGGAGGCGGAGGAGGGGTGGGGGAGGTCGTTGTGCCATTGAATCATTCGTTCGTTGAACTGTTTTAAACAATGAACAACAATTTCAACGTTTAAAGCCGCCAACTTTTAGAGGCATGTGCTCGCTATACACGCACCCACGCACGCGTACACGCGCACGCACACACTCACGCACGTGTACACGCACGCACGCACGCAGTGCTTCACTCTACGAACAGCTCTGTCTGCGCTCTCAGTCGCTGTCTGCGTGTACTCGTGTTGCTGCGGGAAGCGAGTGTTGTCATGGCGATTACTAAATCTCAGTGTATTGCACACACTGCCCTGTACCGCTTCACTGCCTGCGCTCCATGGCAACGAGGTATCGCAGCAGATAACAACGCGCCTTGTCTCAACGAAGGCCCGCACATCGGCCGTAAGCTCATTATCCTATAGGTGTTGAACAACAGTGGAGGGCGTCCATAGGCTGCAGGCCTGAATGAGCATCGAACAGAAATTAATTAAAAATACGCACAATGTTACTGCGCTTACAAAACATACACTTTATTCATGTTAAATAACTACAGATTCGTGCTCTATGCTCCGCTCGAAACTTTTGCCAGCTCTATGATGCGAATTTCTACAGAGTAGTCGGATCCCGTTTCATACACAAAAATGGCCGACCGGCGACCATGGCTACGCCACTAGCTGGAATGGCACAATTACACAACACGAATAATTTTACTTCTAATGCTTTCTAGACGTCCACGAGGCATCTACCTTGCGTGCATAATGCAGATTATTGCACTCTAGTGCCGAGTTTCGGCGAAAAAAAAAGCCAAAAAAGGCCTTTTCTAGAGACGAAATAGTACAATTGCGGAAGCTTACTGTTGTACACCTCCTATAGCAAATACATGATATAGGATAACGTGCACTTTTCGTTTGATTAATGCTAGCGTGTAGCGTCAAACCGCGGGATGATTTTGCTGATGACACACTTTGATCTTTATCCGATCTTGATATATGATGATCAGAGGATGAGTCATGATATACATATGTTATTTATGCTCCAGGCTTTATGCCGCAATATACCGCGTTTTCTAATTTAACAATTTACGTGTTTGCATTTTATGTATTTACATGTTTATGGCAGTTTGACGTGAGATCATGCAACATTAGAGCTAACATTCTGCTAGATTTCCGGTGTCATAAATATTATACATGGTGCCTCTAATGCCTCTCATGGTGGTCTAATGCGACCCACCCCTCCCTAGCTAGAGTTTTTTAAGACATAGTATATGAAGCTATAATGCAACCCACCCCTCCCTATGTATAGGGTTGAGACATTGCAACACATGTTACAGTTATTCAATAGATGAATATTATATATATTATAGCCCTAATGCTACCCAACGCTTTTTTGGCGTCACAGGTTTAAGGCATAGGCTATACGATATTTCCACCGTTCCTATAATTCCTTATCATACACAGGGGCGGATTCAGACCGTATTTGCCGTATTGGGATATACGGTCTAGATTTCAAAGTGCCCTTCGAAATTTTGCGCTAAAAAGTACAGAAAACAATTTGATGGAATTTGGCTATATTCTTTATTTGTTTTCTTTTTCTTCTGATTCATTGACAGGACTTAAAGGAAATCAAAATTTTACATGGTAACAAAACTAGCTTTGATATCTGAAAAAGAAGGGAAGTGCTTGAATCATTCTGCATTAATTGCTGGTATGCAAAGCGCAGGCAAAATGAAGCAGAAATAAAATTCCATATTGTTTTAAGCTATTGCTGCTTGACTAAATGTGTGCTCAAATGGTGCTCATTTGTGTGCTCAGGGACCCTTGCAATTTTGACATTTCCTGGGGGAGGCCCCCCAGACCCCCCCCCATGTGCTTCCGCGCCTAACGGCGCCACTGTGGGGTGGTGTGCCCTTTTAGGAGGTTGTGCCCTTAAATCTGGAAAAATACTGTCTAGCTTCAGCCCTGGATCCGCCCCTGATACAGACGACTTCCGCAAGCAGCGCTATGCAACTACATTAGCTTACACAGTCAGCGACGTTTGCCCTCCACCTCCTGGCCACGGACAGCAAGGTGCCGCCGTCTCTCACCACTCACTGCTCATACACGCGCTCGTACACGCTTCAACACTGCCGCACATGCAGTAATACAGTGGAGGAGGAGGGTGCAAGACTGAGAGCGCGGCTCGTTCTGCGAGGCTTTATTACTCACTGCTCTGTGTGGCGAGACAGTTTTCTGTACGATTACACACGCGCGCGCACTCTTACACACACACAGAGAGAGACACACACACGCACACACACACACACACACACACACACATACACGCGCGCGCGTACACGTACACACGGAGGCACACGCACACACCACGCGAACACGCACACGCTGAGGCACACGCACACACACAAACGAACGCGCACACGTATTCGCATGTACTTTAACTACAGATTCGTGCAGTTTTTATATTATACTAACATACTATAGTATGATAATTTCGTTCAGTAAAGCTTCGCCGACTCACATCGTCTCACACCGTCTCACGCCGCTGCAGCATTCTTGCTCTACGCAGCCGCACAGATTTGTGTATTTACATCACACCACTGGTTAGTGATGTGCTACAGTGCCACACTTGGGAAGGTGACGGGGGAAGGTGTTGATGATGGGAGATACGGGGCGTGATACGGGAGGGGGTGACGGGGTACGAACACATTAGGGTCGACTCGGTCTGTCATCGCAGGGCCATGGCTGCGCATCCCCCCCCCATGCATGCTACGCTATGTGTGTATGTGTGTGTGTGTGTGTGTGTGTGTGTGTGTGTGTGTGTGTGTGTGTGTGTGTGTGTGTGTGTGTGTGCGTGTGCGTGCGTCGGTCCGTCGGTGCGTGTGTATGCGTGCGTGCGTGCGTGCGTGTATGTTCTCACTGCTTCGTCGTTTCACGCTTTCTGTGGTTCTAATTTCCTGCGCCGTGTTTTGGTTTTGGCAGACCTGGAACTAACACAACGTCTGTGTCCTGCAGGCTCGTACAGTAGCATCAGCAGGTCAACAAGCGCCACACAGACCGTCAGCAACTACAGCGAGAACGGAATCACGTGCAGCACGCAGACGCTCAACAGCGTCAAGCTGCCCGACGGCGACGTCGGCGAGGGAGACGTTCTCTTGTAAGCCCCGCGTCGCCGCTAGATGGCGCGGGTTCCGGAGTCTGGGATGTGCAATGGGAACCGCGCCGTTCACGAACGCTGGGAAGCCCCGTGAAGTAGCAGCGTTTGGTGACGTCATGGAACTTCGTCGATCCCGAGTATCGATGACGTGGAAGCTAGACCGTTTGATGACGTGTGTGAACTTTATTTTCAGTTTCTCAACTCTGTAGTGCGCGACCTGCGTGCACAATCTCACGTGTGTAGCGGATTAATCTGTAGCTACGAGTGAATACGTCAATAGAATCTGAAACCGGATGTGCTCTAACGCCTACCGGATATAAGTCACATGGGGGAAGTATACATGAAGAGATTACACCGGAAGTGAATCTTGAAGGAAGGAAGTGCAGCCGCGAGGAGGAAATAAACCGCACGCCGGAAGTGACACGTATAAAGGAAATGACGTAAATGAATGACGCAATGTTGACGCAAACGTGACGTATGTCACGCACCGGAAGTGCGTCAGATGACTAATGTGAATCTAGCCTACACGTGTTGTATGTATGTACGGTGCTGGGAGCTATCCCGGTGCAGCTGAGGCACGTATAACCGGGTTGCCCTATCAGGTGTTGCAAGGCCAGCATTTGGGCGTGTTGTTGCGTTATGATTTAATTAAGTTTGACTAGACTTTATGCAAGATATTTTGCTACTGCTTGTTAATTTTTAGACGGATATATTCGGCAGAATTCATAAGCATTCTGGCTTGTATTTCCTTTCCAATGTAAACGAACCCGTGGGCAGTCAATAATTTGTCGCTGACATATGGACTCACACTTGCTACTTTGTTTTAGGATAAATTTCGTTACATTATTTTTCGCTATCCTGTTATTTTCATGAGTCGCTGCAGGAGTTTAATGAAGCTGTTTTAATGAGTCGTGCTACTTAATTATCCGGTTAATGAGCGAACTGTGCGTGAATTGAATTTCATCGCGTCGCCTTGCGTTGCCTTCCAGCATCCGCGTTTTCCTCTGTACCGTCGCGCGTAACCTAGGTGCTCACTCGCACGCCCGCGCATTTGTCGCGATGCGACGGTCATCCAATCTGACGATGACGTGCAGAAATTGTCTCAACGACAAACAAAAATTGTGAAAATGAAACTAAAAAGGAGCTATGTTAATTAGCACGATACGCTGTGGCAGTGCGGTGGCTGTGTATAGCGCGTGGCCCGCTAGCGGCAGTATGCGGTACGAATATCGTCTGGATCATGTGACAGCCACGTGGACCGCACTCACGTGACGCGAACAACGTCGTCGTCCTGCGTGGTGCGAGAGAAATGTCGCGCGACGTGTAACCGACCAAGCAGTGCACGAAGCGACGAGTGACACCCGTGAGCACTGCAACTCCTCGCAGAGTGCGCGAAGCAGTAGGCGAGTCAGTGAGAGACGTGGAGGGGGGGACTGGCATGCACGCGGACATGACGTCGGCTGTCGGCGTCGGCTCGACACGTTACGAGTGTTCGTCGTTCGCACTAACATTCTCCACGCTGTGTTGCTGACGTAGGTATTGTGCTTACTCATGCAACTGAGATCTCATCGGCCAACGCGCTAGGAATGCATCTCGGTAGTTCTCTCAGTAAAGCTAGAGCGAGGGGCTGGCTCACTGACACATGCTAAGATTGCGTGTGTCACACGCGCTCGGCGAATTGCATGGGTGGATCCGTAGAAATCGCAGCCGAAATAACTACTATTATTATTATAACCTAAACTTATTTAAGCTGCCATTTCTATGAATCGAACACTGACCCACGCGTCGCGTGAGGTCGCCGCCAGGTGTCTCTCAACCGTGTGACAAGTTATCGCCGTTGGTTTGCACTGCCGCCACCAGGTGTTGTTGCGGAGACGTGTTACGAGGTTTTCAGAGCGCGTAGCCGCAGTAGTGACGGTCGGTCAACGATGATAGTCTACTAACTAGAGAGTACAGCGATACCACGCGGTGGGAAGCGATAATACAGATGCAATTACAGCTCTCGTTGTATGCAATAATAAAGATATGATGATGATGACAACGAGAAAGGTTCTAAGTAATAGTTACACTACGCGCTGTTGAGTAAAATACTTGAAGTGCTTATTATCTCTCTATACGATTATGTGAAAACTTGTACAGTCTTTATTATAAAGTGTGTTCGGTTATGTTACTATGTGTGTTCTTAGTATAATGATATATGAGCTCAGTGAAGTGTGCACACCCATTAGCGCAGGATGTTTTCTCGCGTTTATCTCCGCGAGATGGCGCCCTGTGAGCGTGGATTCGTGTCTTTTTACTCGGTTTGCGAGATTTTCCTGCACTAGAAAATAACGTTTAGCACCACGGGAGGGCGCTTAAATCGCGCTTTCGCGTTAAATTCTATTGTCGCACATTCATTCCTTCTGCGTTTTCGTGGATGCAAAGCGTGTATTATGCAATGTATATGAGGTTATAGCGAATATAATGCATCCCGCTGCAGACATTATGTGGCTAGTTTAGAGTTGAACACTCCGCGGAGTCAACCAACTAAGTTCTTTCTCTGCTATTTCTCTTAGAATTTTAATGATATGCAAGGTAGACGATTGAAAGTGTACGCTAGCAACAAGAATGTCTGCCGATTCTGCATGTTGCTAAATCACGTACATCGACAGACAGACTGCAGGCTACTGTGCGTGCTTCCTGCTGCTGCTAATTCATTTAGTCAATTTAAGATTTTGGCTTCATCATTTTGGCCAAAGTGCAGAAGTGTTTCCCCCAAAAATAATTTATTACCAAGAAGTAATAAATAAAAAAACGAGAAGCACATGTGTGCTATCTAGGTATTATGCTTGCTATATGGCTATTAGCCTATAGATGCGATTGTAAATGGCCCCCATTTTACCACGAGACCTATTGATGAATAGATTTGACCGGATTTTGTCAGTTTTTTTCCGATTCGTTAAAACTTGCCAGCGAAAATTGTATGCTTCTAAACAAAGCACAACTCTTAAGCCGGCAGGTTAAAACATCGTCAACGTCTGTATGAGTGTGTCTACCAAAGATTGTATGTATTTTGATGCAGGCGGCACTGCGCGAGAATTCCACGTGTGACGATAATATCAAGAGATAATTAATAAGACATGTATTATTAGCTCTTAATAATATCTGGATACATGATTGGTTACAGGCGAGGCTAGAGGTGCTGAAACTTACACTTGCTGCGCGTGAGTGTTAGATTCAATGGCTTAAGACGCCGGCAGCGCGCGCATGCGCACGAGCAACATTTCTTTTATGCAAATCATAATAGGTGTCGTGTAATGAAAATGAATAAAATTGTAGCTTATATGTCTAACAATATCGAAACTGGTTCCCGCGTTTAATTCATATTGTCGTTTATTTATTCGTTTACATAACAATTGCGTACATATCTAGTAAAAAGGAAGAAGCAAGCTACCACTATAACTTTTATATTCGTAGTTACAATTATTAATTATATTTTCGATGCTACTTAAATGGTTTACAAACATTTCACATGGTATAATATATATATATACCCTCGCACGCACAGATGCAACTTATTGGCGCATGTGCATATGTGCACACGCATCGCGTGTGTAAAAAAATGAGTTTAGCATGAAATCGGCGACTCTATGGTTACCCACAGCACTATTACTAAAATACAAACGCTTCAAGGCATACGTGAGCGGGTACCATAAATTGTCATAGATGCGGTAAACAAGTACAACACGCGCACCCACGCACGCACACACAAACACACCCAATCGCACCGATGCACGCACACACAAACACACCAACACGCACCCACGCACAGACACTCAAACACGTACACATGCAGGCGCACACTCACGCACGAACACACGCATACATACACGCCCACACACACACACGCACACACACACACACACACACACACACACACACACACACACACACACACACACACACACACACACACACAAGCACGCACGCACTCACTCACGCACGTACGTACGCACACGCACACAAACAAGCACGCATGCGCGCACACAAACAAGCACGCATGCGCGCACACAGACACACACGCATGCACGCACACGCACGTACGTACGTACGCATGCACGTGAATACTTACGCACGCATACGCGCCCGCATGCGTATCATATCTACACAGTTATAGCACAGTTAACATGCATGTACGCATGTGTCCCAGCAATTATACGCTGGATCACAACCTGGGCTGTCTGATCGTATTCCAACCCCTTTTCGCGCGTATGATGTACTATCACTCACGTACTGTGTGTATTATGAGTATACGCTTCTACGATGCGTATGCGTGTGTGCGTGCATGCGTGCGTGCGTGCGTGAGTGAGTGACTGCGTGTGTTTGTACCATCATCGAGAAATTCCGTTGGTCATGCTCAGTCAGAAGAGCGACTTGAAAATTAATGAAAACGAGATCCGAACCCAAATCAGATGAGCAAGTGAGGGAAATGCGAGATTTAGCAAGAGTTGGCGAATAAGCAATAGAGCAAAACTAATACAAAATAAACAGGGAGAGCGAGAGTGAGGGAAGGATGAAAGATATAAATGCGCGCGCGCGCGCGCGAGAGAGAGAGAGAGAGAGAGAGAGAGAGAGAGAGAGAGAGAGAGAGAGAGAGAGAGAGAGAGAGAGAGAGAGAGAGAGAGAGAGAGAGAGAGAGAG